TATGATAACAAACCAGAGCTCAGTGTGCTGTTCAATACTCAATTGAAATTATGTTAATGAGAAATTGAATAATTAAAACCAGTAGATATTAACATTTTGATATTAGTATTCGTAAATATCTGGTATGGATGATGTGTGGTCGAGGGTGAAACCCATTCTATATGTTTTTGTTTCATGGTTGATGCATTATTGGTTCGAAAACTTATGACGTGATAGCATTTGATAAATCTGTTTTCGAAATGTATACGTGGAGAAACAATTTCATGTAATTAACAATATAAATCCTTTTTTGGATGTCTACTCACGAATATCACATCTATGTAGATAATGTTTATTAGGGAGCAATAGTAATTTGTCTTGCATTCGTCTTTATTCCGTTGTACGTAGATGTTCACTTTAATATAATGACCTTACGTACTCTTTACTATAATAGCAATAACAATGGGGTACAAAGAAGCTGAATATCGAAGCTAGAAATTCACATATGCTCACCTCATATGACCGTTTGTGATGAAGTAAGACACAGCCAGGTGTATTTAATTGCCACTAATATAATTCCATTTCTGTGTAATTAATTTTTCTTATCATATGGAGAAGAATTCTTTTCTTATTTGATAACATAATATTATGATTTAATATGACGTCCTAGGATATCTCGCACTGCCATATACATTTCAAACTTAACTTGTTTATAGATGTTTACTTTAAAATATACTCATATGTTTATATGTAGTAGAGACACTGGTTTGTTTACACCGATTTACAAGTCCATGAGCCAATACATGGAGGCATTTTGCTCGGCATACCATTTGTCCGAACATTCTGACTTTATAATAAATAAATATTAACTGGCAATGATGGGCAATATCATTCGTCCATGACCCCGAATCCGACAATAACAACCTCCATGTATTGGAACGTAGTTCCAATGGTATTATATATATTACGCAAACAACTTGTACAGTTGTGTGGTAGTCTAAATCTTAATTGTTTACCCTCGTAATATATATATTTATATATATCTTTGTCAAAATGGATAATTATGATTTTTTTTTTTTTTAATAAATATAACATTCACATAATAAATTATTTTTTTCTAATCAATGATGATGGCATTATTTAGATAACTTTTTTATATCAACTTCTATTATAGTAGAAGAAGTAATATAACATATTATTATACCTCATGACAGCCAATTAGATTCGGGCATTACAGGTAGACATATTCCTGTGTCAACCTGCTGACATACTCGTATGTCTACCTCCATCTGGGTACTTTGCTCCCGAAATTACCTAATTCACGCCAGTAACTTGTCGAAGGAACACGATACGCGGCCATATTTATGAAATGATTAGTTTGCCAGGTTTTTGTTCATTATTGGGGCGAAAACTAGGATTTTGTAGCGATCTCGCGTGATTTTTAGTTGCTCCTGGCGTGAGTTTCACCAGCGCGCTCAGCTACGCGCTTTGAGGCATTCGATCTGCGATTGCGCAATTCGTCTACCTAAAAAATTAGAGTGCCGCTTTGTTTGATTTTGTTACGTATTTTGTGTGTTTTGAAAGTGTATCGACATATTATGTACAGTGTATTTGTTGAAAGAGAATGATGTTGACATAAACCTATACTCAAGCAATGTTCAGCTCCGTGTGAAGCTCGTTTCAGTGTTCTAATGCGAACTGGAACGCAGTGTGGCGTATAGCTGCGCACAGGGTGGCACCACGTGTGTTTGTAAAAATTAACTCTTTGTCAGGCTGTTGCTCCTGAAATAGAGTGTATTACAACATAACACAACTGTTACCATAGCGACATCACGTTCACACATTCGGTTCACACGCCGCTGCACTATTGTTTAGAATCAACAACTTTTATTTGTATGATGGAGTTTTTAAACATATGTTACAGGAATTCGATAAATAGATTGTTTACTTATTTTATTTAGTAGTGGCAACTTCGCAAGGCTTTAACCGTGACACGCATCCACGGCAATCACGTGATTGTACCAACGAGTGCAGCGATTGGCTGATCGCATGTTTACTCTGCCACGTCTTAGAGACTTGACTTTTAAGATAGAAGTTTGTAATCTTTTGTAAGAGAGAGGGAGGGAAGGAGAGAAATGGATGAATTAAGCTGGACTATCTGTAATGAACTAATGTGTCTTCTTTTTGGTCGAATTTGGTATCTCTACGTGTAAGTGCCAAGTGAGAACAAGTTCCCGAACGCGAAACTAAGTAAAAAGGCATCCATGATGAAACTCAAGAGTGAATTCAATCACTGCTCTTGAGATCTGTCAACTTGTATATGTCTATGCATACATGCATTCAGCTCTGAGAGATTGCCATGATTGAGTGACACAATTTCTGTTTTAAGATTTATTCGGTATAATAATACAAATGTTCACACCAACGTCTCTGTAGACAATGAGCTTTTCGGGTCGCTAAAACAGTATATCCAACTGTGTTGGTATGGTGAAAATTTGTATAGTATCAATAACATTAATAAATCAATAATAATAATACAAAATAGCATCTAATAGTATACTTCAGTTGCAATTTGTTAAACGGAATAAGTAAAAACAGAACATATAGGCAACCTCACCACCAGATAGTTTAACACATGAACTACTGTTTAACTTTACTCTGTTGTTTCTATTTGAGGCTTACTAGAGGCGATATCCAGCTAGCAAATTTTGTTAACGTTAAAGTTTTGTTTCCAAGCAGTGATCTTGAAATTGACGGAATTCGTGACCATGATGAGTATGTTGTTGCCAGAAAGACTTTGGAACCTGTAAAAACAAAAAGGACATTTCTGAACCATAAACATGCCAAATATTTATTATTTCTATAATCTTTCTTTATAGATTAATCTGTATTATATCAATGTATCAGTGTTATTTGAGTGCCAGCTGTACTGGCATGTCTAGACTGTCGACAGTTCTCAGGACCTAATTTGTTAGTATACTAAATCAAGTAATGCCGTAGTCATTTCAGCGAAGGCCTGGGGACTGATAACGCTTGTAAACTCCCCCACGCGAAATTACGTGGTTTTCAACTGGTACTAAACAGAGAATGATTGACAGCTTATGCATGTACCGGTGGAAAACACGTAATGTCGCGTGAGGGCGTTTACAAGCGTTAACATACGTCAGGTATATTGTCTTCACTGAAATGCCTGCGGCGTTTCTTGCAAATGCCTCCGGTGTTATGCTGATTTAATATACTGACAAATTAGCCCTGAAGACTGTCAACAACCTAAGGCTCGAGGAGTGACCTTCATGGTGGCCGTCAACAAAATGTGTGGCGTACGGATACGATTTTGTCAACTGATGATTCAATTATAGATTTAAATGAAGTCGTTAAATCAATGTAATTGTATACTTAAAGAAATAAAGGCGCGTGTATATATTTTGTGGATAAAATATTCTGTGTAATGTACGGCGTTGGTTATATCATAAATTATGTAACACTTTAAGCTCATACTCACGTGCACAAATTTCTTGTTCCAGGAGAGATACTAAAAACCCATCATCTTTTATTTTGACGATTTCTGGGTACTCACTAGTCGATATATCATCAAAGGTTTTTACTTGTGAAACATTGGCGTTTTTTAGTATGGTCAGCATTACCTAAATCAATTTAAGAAGTTACGTTAAGATAAATCTATTATTTTCTTGTATGCATTGTTAATTTTTATATTTATAATACTATTTATATTGTATTTTATGTTGATTTGTATTTTAATTACAGTTATTCTTACCCTTGCAAATGGAGGCATGGCTACATAGAGGCAAGATATGTCATGTTTCATCATGTAGTTACGTATATCATTGGCCACAACTTTTGCAGTACGATTGACTTCGACAACTTTCATAATATCAAGACATTCTTTACCACGACCACAACTGAAATGTTAATTTAATGTTGGTTATGTTGAAGACGAACAGTAGATTAACGTAGTGTGGCTCAAACGCAAAAACAAAATGTCCTGTCAGTGAATATTACTGACCACGTAGTGGTAATGTACTATTCGAAATAGATATTTTGCAGTATGGCTTGCCAAATATTATCTGCCAATGCCTTTATATTGTATTACTAAATCGGCACTGCTAAATAAGCTATTTAAAGAAATATAGCATTATATTATTATATTGAAATAAGTACCAGATAATCGCATCACTCTACATATAAACATATTGGTGAAAAATATTTGACAAAATATGGGTGAACCTTACATTACATGATTCATTATCCTGAACACAATATGATTATATTTAAAATGGATGTTGACAATTACAATCGACATCTTTTTATCCCAAACACAATTAGGTATCATTCGAAGGAACATAATGTCAATCAAACCCAATCCAGTCTGAGCTATAAAATTGTAACATTAATTAAAATTAATCAAAAATAATTCGAAAATATAATACTGAAATAATTGTATAGAAAATATTTCTTGAATATTCTACAGAATTTTTTGTGTTTTTTTTTCAATTATAATGTTGGGTCAGTTTGTGAATATCTTGTGATAAAATTGTATAAACAATAAATATGCAAAATTATCATCTACAAAATGATTAATCCATTTGTTCAGATTATATTAATGTTCTTATATTAAATGATCGGTCATACATATGGTGGTTATGATAATTAGCAAATGTTTACACGAATTAGCAGAGAGCCGAGGGCCGGGTGAAAGATACGCTATTTTTGAAAAATAACAAAACCATCCATGAATAAAAACAAAATAGCTAAAACGCCAAGGATTTGAGTCAAATTAGTCCCAATTCGTTATTGTGTGTATTAGAAACTCAAATACTGTGGATAAAAAAAATCATATTGTGCAGTAGAATATTAGTTGCCAAGCTTTTTGTTTGAAAGGCTTCATTAACACTTCATAAAACTTAGGTGAAACCAAGCACATGCCGCAATGGAACGGTATTATTGCCATGCATACTCTCTCATAATAAAAGGTAAGTAATACAATTCTACAGATAATTTACCAGCATACTCCCATAAAGCTTGGTTTATGTGCGTCTGTTATTTTGATCACGAGGCTGATATTGTTTATTAATTTAATGTGTTTTTAATCATGATTTTGCCAGGATTAAGTAAGCGTTTTGGGATGACTGGTGAACTATTTTTTAACGACATTGTTTAACTCTAAAATATAGGCAATGACATATTACATACAAAGTGTGCTTCATTGCCGAGTGTGCTTGTCTATATGTAAATATCAAATGTACCGTGTGCATGCATAAATGATCTCACTCTAATACGATGGCGTGACATGTGCCGTCGCACATATGGAGACAGCTGTCAGAAGCATTGGCAAATCTGCATGGATTAAATCCAAACAATTATGGATCAAAAGCAACTACACAAACAAGTATGATTGTACCAAGTTTAATTCATTACAAATGTTGAGTAAACTGTTGCCAGGATTTACACAAAACATGCCGAAAAGCAGTTTAATAGTTCGCAAAATTTACTAATATGTTCAGATTAACTTTGATCATTATTAGTATGATCATGAATTTAAATCCCAAGTTGATGTTTCAATGTACGTGTAGTTTTGCATCTGTAATTATATAAAATATTCATATATACGAACAGCAGACATTGTGCCAAGTTCCCATGCATAAGCCATTTAGGCAAATAGTTGAACATGCTAGAGTTAGTTAATTGTTATACAGAATGTATAAAGTCATACGCTCGGATTATTACTCAGGTCTGATCTTCAACATATGGTATATGTGTGCTGTATTGCTTTCTAAATCATCATGAGATTCTTAAAGTATTGGCGAAAAAGAAATTGACACATATACACACAAAATTACGAGAGTCAAATACTAATCCCGGCCATAAAGCGATAAACCCATACGTTATTGTCACACGCTTCGTATATATTCAGTTGATTTTCAGACAATTTTACCATTGACTTGTGTGTCTAACTGCTTCAGATAACAACAATACATTTTAATTATTTATAGACTTACGATTCTCCTGATCTATTTCTCCAGTGCAGTGCCATGAACCCGTCACCGCCGCAAAGCTTTTTATTAACATCAATGGCCATCTTTCTTATATAGTCTGGTTTCAGTAAATGCGAGTCCACATTACCCAAGACTGAGGTATAATTTGGGAATGTCCACTTGATACTGTGTCCTGGTTCCAATATCCCCAAACACCTGGTACTTGGAGGATGTGCCAATTGAAACAATGCTTTCTCTTTTGTGTTCGGTATAGAGGAGGCGTTGGGCAAAATAATGCCGTACCTTTTCTCCAGGCCGCGTTGTTTCTGGATATACGATTCTGTAAACTCTTGCAGCGATCCTGATCTAGTCACGTCAAACGGATCCATCAAGACAATGTCAATTGTATTATTACAGTCTTTTTTAAACACATCTAGTGTTGCTATGTCTGTAATTTCTCGCAGTTTCTTCATATCGATGGTTTCATTGAGAAAATGTCTCGTGTGACTTCCAGATGTCCAATGGGAATAAAACCACATTTCGACAATAGTTCTTTTGTAGAACATCGCAAAAGCTACTCCCTTCCGAAAAGCGGTATATTGAACATTGGGTCCATTAGAATCAAAATGTAATGGAAACAAGTAGCTTCTTTCTTCTGACACATCGTATTTGGCTTTTGGTATGTTCTTGGGAGGTTTGGTCGTCGGTGGCATGTCCTTGGTTAGTATATCTTTTGGTGTTAGGTCGTTGTGAGATATGACTTCGGGCGCCAGGTCCTTGGGGAGTGTGTCATTCGGTGTTATGATCTTTGGTGGCAAGTCTGTTGATGTTATATCCTTGAGTGATATGTCATGTGCAGGCATATCCTTGCGTGCTATGTCCTTTGGTTGTATCTCCTCGGGTATCATGCCTTCGAGTAGTGTGTTATTTGATGGTATGCCATTCCGTAGTTTATCCTTGGGTATATTGTGCACCTGTGAAGAGAAATTGTAATTCAAACGTTTTATAATTGAGGTTAAATGTTACGATTTGTTTTAAAACCTTTTTAAAATGCTGTCTTGATGATGGTCAACGACGAATTGGCAGAAGCATTACGTGTAGTAAACGACAGAGCAAAAGAACATACACTTCGTATATCATGTCTGACCTGTGTGACCCTTTCAACTTCATATTGTATCTCTACAATTGCTAGTGCTCCATTTTGCAGAATTGTATTTTTTTGTATTTTTTTTTAGACCAGGACATCACACATTTGCAACTGACCTTGATCGAAAGTTTGTGATTGAGGACAAAAGTTAATTTTGGTGTTGAAAGAGTTCATTGAATACAACACGTTAAATATAAACATATGTGTACAGAGATTAGTTTACTTTTATATCGATTGAGAAATGGAGTTATTTTTGGAGAATTATTTGAAATAATTTCGGGCTATAAAATAACTGAAGTCTGAATTTGTGTCATCATGTCGGGTTTCCTGTACTAACTAGTGTGCAAAATATCTGTATTTTATGGTATGGTTAACTGAACTTTTGTTAACTATCCACCAGTATTTATATTTGTCAGGATCAATGCACGACCAAACCAACTTATTTAAGTGGTTGTAATAGTAGATCGTGCAACAATGCTATATAGTAGATAACATTTGGTAATAGTTTCGAGCAATGGCTTTTTATCAATGGCAAAGAATAACATGTTTAAACGTATAGGTTATACATAAAAACGTTTTTTGTTATTTCCAGGCGTCCCACAGTAGTGATCCATGACTAGCCATTTCAATCCAGTCTATTATTCTGTTCACACGTGCCAGTGGGTTATATAACTTCGATATGTTCGGATCATGTGTTTTGGTAACCTCAATATGCAACCATTATAGACACAGTATATATCACCACAAAGCTGGAATGATATTTTACCGCCAGGCGATTGTTGCTTAGTAACATACGATTGGTGTGAGCCAAAAACAAAAATAATTGCGAAACCTATAATAACTTAATTATCTAGTATACCGACAAAATATGTGAACCATGACCTTGGAGTTATTTTTGGAGAATCTACGTTTTTTTCAAAATTTAGATATTGAATAGATAAATCAGTTCTGAATAGTCTGTCTATTCGTAAACCATTCACATATTATGTCAACACCAAAGAAATCTTTCATATATATATATAAAATTCTACCTAACATGTACATTACGCTATATACACTGGGCTAAAACGAATGGAAAATAAAAAAAAAACTGTGAAGAGAGGGTCAACCGATACATTGTTAAATGACGGCGGTCGTCGTTGCGCAGCGCGCGTTAAAATTACGTGTGAACTAAGTAATTTACACGCATTGAACCAAAATCTAGCATGTAGTACATGACGTTAACATATGCATGTAGTTGGCTATTATTCGTCAGACTTAGTATTCGTTGTCTGAGTTCTCACCTGTATTGAACTACTCGGTGATGTTATATTCAAACCTTTAGCGTCAACGTCGACTCTGGTTTTATGCAAGGATATTCCCGTCTGCTGGCGCATAACACTGCTATTGCGAACCGGCGATGTCTCATTATTATGATCCACGGCCTTACCGAGCCGTTGTGTTGGCTGCCAATATCCAGCGACTCCTAGTAAAGCTTTCTTAACTTCATGTATTTCAATAATACAAATAGATATGCAAAAAATAATGAGAAACTGAAAAGCTTGTTTCATTGTTGAGTGTGTTTGGTCATGTTTGTCTCTAGGTATTAATTATGTATGCATTAATTATCCTGGTGCAATCTATGATGGTGCGACATGTGTTTTAGCACATATAGAGACAGCTGTCAAAAGCATTGCCAAATCTGCATAAATTACATGGCAACATGCAGTGCGTTAATTAACAATTTATATATGTTTGGTCAAAGGAGATCAAGCTGCAATGGCGACAAAAATATTAAAAATACTACCAGAGATGAAAAAATAAAATGATAATCAAATATAATGTATATGACTAAAAAATACAATATCATTTACATTCCACCTAGACAAATCAATACGACAGACTCGTATTTACGGTCAATCAATTAACATACAGACATACAAAATTTTATAAAAAAAAAACACGAAACAATGAATAACCAATCTCTCCGGGTTTCAATCTCGTCTGTTGTAATATTTGCCGAAACTTTACCGACATGAAAAATGTATAGGCTACGACAGTAGCAATTTTTGGGTCACACTTCTTAAAATTAAATAGTTCTACTACAGAAAAAGATAACAAAACTCTAACAAATCCGATATAAAAATGTCCGGACGGAGTGGTTGATGCATAGTCTACCAAACGACTCGAGTTCGTTATTTGACTTCTAATATGGTTGGGTGATAGCTGGACAGTTTCCACCAAACAAATGACAGGACCCACAATCTACTAGTATATTCTGTGTGTAGATTCTATAAAGGCAAGTAGTTATAAACTGGGCCATCGCGTTTGGCAGGCGTGCCCCAGTAGAACACGTGCGACATTCACATAGGTCACTGCTGATGATAACCCATTTGAATGAGAATGAATTTGAAAAGTGTCTGGTTTGCCGCGAAATAACTGTGTCACAATTATCATAAAACGATAAAATTATGTCTGGTCACCAGCATTAAATAACGCAATGAAGCACTGGTTCTTATTTAGTCCGGCACCGACACTGCCGAACTTTGGTTTCGTATTAAATCCGGAAAGCCTATTAATTCCAACTGTTCGCGCAACGAAGTCAGTCACTCTGCCGCATCGACAGCACATGTGTCGGTAAAAAATGCATTCTGCTTTCGGTGAAAACACCGCCTCTGGGCTAGATATCGTCTATGGTCGCGGGAATAAAAAATTGACAAGTAATATTTGTTCTTGGAAATCTCCTGGGAAATGTCCAGTGTCTGACCTCTCAATTTTCCTTCACTGCTACTTGATTTTTTCCAGTTCGTACATATTTGGTTGGCCATTGTTCTTCCTGTGAATTGTGGACGGCTGCTCATACTGTTGCTCATATAATGTTCATATAATTGTTTTGCATGCTTATTAAGTTGTATATTTTTGCTAGTGAGCAATTCAACCATTAAACTATATTTACACTCCATTTTTCCAACTCTGGTGTATATATAAATAAAACCTCAACGAATTCATTCCCACTTTTACAGATGAAATTCATTCCAAAGACAGTCAGTTTTACACACCATTTCTGAATGTGGGATACCTCATTAAAAAATGGCGCGTGCTTTTTGAAAACATTCGATTGTTATAGCCAAGTGAGAAACGAAACGCGTATGAGAAAAAACAAACACTGCTGTGCCACCAGTGTCTCAAGCATCGTCGTTTATGCCTCACAAAAATAATGTTTCCGGTCAGCGTAAAATAGAGCGGGACAATCATGCCTTTTTTTCATTAATTTTGCCACTTCATAGCGCCCTCTGTTGGCTAATTCAGGCAATGCAGTCATAGACTTAAACTAGAACGCTGCACAAACAAACAAACAAAAATATTTTCTTTATTTTTACATATTTGATACACATATTGTGCAAGGACTAAGAAAAGGAAATAAAATTCTTCCCAATGGCAAGGATATATCTCAATATCTTAGAAAATTGCTCTGTGACATATAATGAAAAGTGGAAGAATAGGATCTTACAAGATTCTTTTTTTTATATCTAGAAGTATTAAAATATTGACAATATCTTTAGTGGCTTTTAAGGAGAAAATATGTTTTCAATGTGATCATTGGAAACTGCTACTAAGGCATATTATTCGTATAATCGTTTTATATTTTAGCAACAAAAACCACGCCGTGGCCTCATTTTTTTATTCAAAAAAATTCAAGAATAGCATTTTCGTCGCATATCACCATACATAGATATGAAAGTTGCATACCATTATATTATTAACAATTGCGTTGTCAAGTGAAAATTCCATATATTCTCCGATTGATTGCCTATATTTGTATACAGCGGACTCAGTCACGGTGTACAATGTCTAAGCTCCCGCTAGGGGAATACTCATCAAGCAATTTTAAGCGTTGCATTGCGGGATTATGTGATATGTGCAGGAACAGGGTTAATCAGATATAATGTTGCTTTGTTGGTTCTGTACGCCTATAATATAGAAAAGGAATGTGAGATATTCGAATACGCATTCACAAAACGTAGACTAAATATATTTCAGTGGGCATACGTTTCGTATATGTGCGTTGATTCATAGTATATTGGGCTCTTTCATGATTTGAACGATAATGTCCAAAGGTCGAGTATACATTATACATCCAGAGTAATAATACTTTACGATTATATACCAGAGCATTTCACTCAATTCTACACCGTTCGGAGCCCGACGCCATTTCTACCCGTTTAGCGTCCCTAGTCACCCTACATAACGGTATTATTATCCTGAAAACCTGAGGCAAAGTAAGTCATATATACGTCACAGTTTTAATACCGAGCACATTTTACAATTTACCCATCGATGAGCGTCTGTGTAGCCGTCTTAAACCAATGTCTGAAAATCAAATGTTTCGGGTACGCCCTAACATGGCTATTTTACATGACGTTTTTGTGGTACAGTGGTGTACAGATTCTAGTATTGACATAGTGTTGTAACGACGGTTCATATGCATTGTCTGGTCTGGTGGACGTGAATGTACGGGTGCTCTAATGAATTCTGTTTTTTTTTTTATATATTTGTGTGTACGGGTAACTGCAAATAGAAATGATGTATACCGATTCATGCTCTAATTATAAAAGCAGCTCGCCTACTTCGTCCACAACCCTCGTAGTGTTAACACATGTATATTTCGATCTATAAGATGTGGGAGCTGTTTTGTGCTATATGGCTAATTCAGATCTAGATTTAGCTCATTTTACTCATCATATGTAGTCGACGCGGAAGCTCGACGCATGAAACAGTAATAAAAAAACATAGGTTGGATTGTAAAAAAAAGGCAATTGATCTTTGGGTTTGTTTACTCTGTGATTGAAGTATGCCCAGTTGTCTAGGATACGTTATTGAGTGCATTACGTTTTCGGCAGTTAAAATGAATTGAAGGCTGCCTTAGTACTCTCTGTGGTGTTCTTAGGTACTGTAAATAAACAGCAACAGGACGCCATAAAATGTGTATTCAGATTGAAAGAGGGTCCTCAGTAAAAACAAATGAGAATACCGATTCAATATTACTACATTAGTAAAACTGTGTGTGCTTATACATTATATAAACGATGAAGATATTCTACATAAATAACACATTGTGATTTTATCCACCTCCAGTGATACCACATAATAACAAGTTACGTTCACTCTCAACCGAGTCGCTCGTACCGCGCCCTCTATCGACAAATGTTGGTTTTGATGTGAGCGATAATATTTGATGTATTCTAAATGACTACAGAGTTATACATGTCAACGACGTCGCTTTTATACTTTACCTACGTCACAATATCATCTTAGAATCATTTCGCCTCTAGAGGGCGTTTTTATTAGAAATGTCTATTATCCTGTCATTTGTGAACTTTTGTACGATTTATTAGCTTATTTATTATCCTACTATTCGTCTTTTCCCGGCAGCTACTACGCCGCTATGTCTAGTGAGTACGACTCTGGTGAAGTAACTTACATCGCTATTGGAAGCGCCCTCCTTGGACTAGGTGTGGGCATCATTCTTGCCGCCTGCGTCATGCTGAGACGGCAGTCGGGATTGTCACAGAAGCAGGCTACCTATGAGATGCAACCCCAACGACAACAAACCGAGAAAGACGGCCAGAAATCGTATGTTAATAACGAAGCATATGAAGATATTTATGATTCAGGAAATGACGTCCAACCTCTTGGTTACAGACATGTATCTTAATGAGAATACAGTGTGAATGGCTGAACACTGTTGACGTAAATATGGATGTAATCGATAGAATTACATAATCAATCAATACTCCCAAATTATTGCAGCAATTGTTTATGTGGATCGATGTACAACCCATCGAGACCTGTCTATTTACTAACAACTGAACAATATTATGTTTAACGTTGTATTATGTCTATTATCTTAACCGGAGTCGTCTTAATTGGATTCGGAGATCATTAAATATGCAACTCTGTGCTAGGTAGAAACAGTATTTCGTAAGACGTTAGCTATGATTTATTATTTTTGATTTTAAACATTATGTGGAAGTTTCGCATCATGGTAGTAACTGGTGCATGTTTATTGGTGTCCATTACACCCCATTTCAATTACTAGTAGTAACTTTGTATTCAACTATAGACAATTGATGATAATTTAATCATAGATGTACATCAAAGTTAATCGCCACCTTCATACAGTCTCGTGTGCATTGTCTTTAAATCTTGTTTTAATAATACTTATTACCAAACGCTTCAGCGTGGTATTAAGATTTTGTTTTCAGGCTTGGGTGATACCAAGGTGGGGAATGGATGCACATATGGGTGGTAATTCCTGGAATTGCAATAGAGAGGGTTCAGGCCGAAATACGTATATATAGTGTTTCCATGTTTCGTCTGATATTTCTGGGGTATTCTGCTGCTGTAAATAATGCAAGATTTGTTCCGAAATTCAGTGTGTTGTGTGCACTCCAGGGCTATTCGTTTTTTGCTCAAAACACCACTATTTTTTAATGGCAGAGTCGAATAGTTCACTCCCACTGGG